GATGGATGAAGCTATGAACAAGGAGCTTATTTCCTCTACCATCAAATAACCACCCATGTTTCAGCCAGCATGAGAGACTGAGTTCCCACCAACAACACAACTCAGGGTGTCCTGACCTCATCTTTGGAGGTTTCTTGATTCAGTTAAGCCAAATCAGAAGGTTCTGAAAAGCATTAGCAGGATCTGTTTCTAAGAACAGGATACAAGTCTCCACAATTTAGGAGCTCCAATAAAACAGACATCTGTTATTAGCAATTGCAGCTCGGGAAATTCCGTGACGGGTAAAACATGGTACTCTATAGCATCTAATGCTCAAAGACCACATGGCCCAGTAGTGAGAATTTGGTTCAGCTTAACAAAAAAAAAGGAGATCTGAATAAGCAGGGAAGAACGAACTTGAATCTTGTTTGAACTAGGCTTAAGGTGATGCTATCTGTCTTCTGCTAGGACTTCACAAGGAGCTCATCTCTTGCAAAAATGCACTTTGTCCAAATGAGTAACAGCATCTCTTCTTCCAGCTCGGAGGCTTAAAGGCACAAGACTGGATTCTGTGAGCTAGCTCACACCCTTACTTAACTGGTGTCAGAGGAGGGTGGTAAGGAAAGACAAGATGGACTTTGGCCTGGGTTAAGCTGCTCATGTTAGACTGTGTGGGGAGAGCTCAGTTTGAACTCAAACAGCTTAGCTCCTGTGTAAAGCTGTGAGCCTCTCTCTGCTTATCAGACACGTTAGTTTGCAGATGTCAGTTATCACATGCTAACAGTGTGCCTTTTATCCTAGCCTCAGCAAGGTCTTGATGGCATCTTTTCCTGTTTTCAAATCACCTATAGTGCCTGATATCATAGGGGTAACTTCTGCTTGAAGTGAGCAACACACTTTCATCCTTTAGATACAATAGCTTTACTTCCCACAGTCTCGCAGTAGCAGGCAGGCTACAGGCGGTTTTTTTTTTTTACACGTCACTGCTTAGTGAAGAACGAGGGAAGCCTCCAGTCGAGTGTGACCAGCCCCAAGCTCCATCAGTTCACCTTGGTGCACTTCTGCCACTTCTTTTCTTCATACTTACTTTCACACTCACACACACACACACACACACACACACACACACACACACACACACACACACACACACACACACACACACACACACACACACACACACACACACACACACACACCTTGATTTGCTATCATCCCCTACAGGATTAATGCATTTCATTTGCATCTCATCTCCCATGAATCCAGCCTCTCACTCAATTACGGTTGGTACCTACAAGCATAGTCTGTGCCCAATACTTTGACTGGTAATGACTGACAGTGCCTGAAGCAAGAAACTGTGTGATCTTCATGGACTTTTTTCAGAGCCTGGTCTAAGCTGCTGCTAATAGATTGTCTGTTGCATGCTGGTGCCGACAGGCACAGGCAGGTGTTTTTCTCTTGCTGAGACTTAGAAGCCCAGCTCCCACAAGCATTTCTCACAGGCTGCTGCAGAGATCCACCTTAAGAGATTTATTAATACCAAGGAAGACATTTTATTTGAGGCATTCATCAGCACTAATATCTCATATCTTTCAGTTCACCGAGTATTTAGTATTTCAATGTGGGCCAAATTCATTTGAATCATTTCTGCAGTGGCTGCAATTTCACACACACAGCCAATCTAAACCCGATTACACCCTCCGCCCTTCTGAATTTGCTTCTGAGACGACAGCAACTCAAAAAAGTAAGGCCTCTTACAATTAAGCAAGATTAAGCTTTCTCCGAATAGAAGGGTCATTTACAGCAATCCCTATTTTGATGGTTATATTCACTACATCCTAACCCATTAAACAGTGAACCCCTCCCACCTCAACCAAACCAGACCCAACCAATCCACGGGATTGATTTTGCTCTCCTAGACACTGATGCAAAACAGCTGTACTCATCAGTGGATTTATACTGCTTTAAGACAAATGTTAAAGAAGAACTGGGCCTTTCAACATCAAGGGTTAATAGACTCCAATGGACACTTCCACATGCTATAACAGTGATGATCCCAGCAACAACTCTTACCTTTGAAGACAAGTGCATTATTCCAATTTGGTCTCAATAAGCAAGTACCCCTCTGACCAGTATTAAGTACCAGACAAATGCCACAGTGGAAATCGGAAATGGCTCTTGGAGAAGTTTCTGATCCCTTTGAGGTGACTGAGCAATACAAGTGCTGAACAGCAAAACAGAATTTTACTTTCAAGCAAGAGTGAAGATAAACACCTGTACAAATTACAAGAATCAATCTTTCATACGCTTACAGGGGCAGGTTCTCCAGCGAGACGGCACTGCTGGCACAAGCTGCTGACAGCTGAATACATTTAAAGCTTTCCTCACTCATCTTTTCATTAACACTTTGCAGCTCTTTGCAGACCTGACTGGAGAGAAAGTAAGGCTTATGAAAACCATGAAATTACATTTCCAAACACTTGGCTTAAAAGAAATCCTTTCAATTGTTCCCTCTCTAACAGGCACAGCAAGGTTCTAAACAATGAAGCAAGAGTGGTCTCTTGTGGAAGTACACCACATCTACAGCTTTAATACTAAATGAAAGGCATTCAAACACAGCATTTGTTAGATGGCCTCTCTATGCCATCTGCATAAACTTTCTTGCTTTAAGTTTTACCTGCAGCACTTCCAAAATTTGAGCAGTAGAATGGGATGGTTTCCAAACCGTAGTCAGTGAGGTCAGGGTAAGAGAAGTCAGCATGTCTCTGGATCACCCCAGCCTGCTACCCCACCTCCTACTTCCAGTTAGAAGTCAGATAAGTTTATATGATAGTATGCAATAAGTTTTTGGAACTACTGCTCCTCAGGTTGCATTTTTTAAAACACAAATGACATTAGTTTACTCAAGTTCACAGGAACTTCACAAACTGGAAAAATCAGCATCTCTGCTCTCATAGACTCATGGATGTTAGGGGCTGGAAGGCATGCGAGAATATTAAATAGGGCCTACATTCAGAACTGGCCCAGGTTTCTTCCAAAGCTATAAGTTTAGACAAGTCAATTTTCATAGAACACAAGGAAAAAAAGAGAGGACACAAAGGAAAGCAGCATAGGCTAGTGCAGACAATTTTATGGGTTGTTGTAAATGTGTACCATCTTGAAGTGTGTCAGGCAAAAGTTCCAGTTCTTTTACAAGAAGGCAGATTCCTTGGCTCACCTGAGATGAGTTTGAAAGTTAGGACAACTGGATTTTATCTCGGTTCTCAAAGCCCCAAGTACCCTCAGATAAAATCCAGGACCACTGAAGGCTCATTTCAAAACTTCAGGTAACACTAGGGCCTAAGGTTGAATAATCTTCACATTCATTGGCCTGTAACTTAGGCCCAGTGCAAAGCTCAAAAGACAATGGAAAAGCTCACATTGACTTCAAGGGGTTTTGGACAAGAGAAAATAAAATCAAAACACCAAGCCAGGACTGCTCTGGATTGTATATTTTCTAATTCCAAGGGGAACCACCCTTGAATGCAACAACCCTATTCATGGCTTGCAGTAGCCTTAGGCCCTCTTGATGGGATTTTAAGAGACTGCTTCACACTGGCAAAATTCCCAGCATACCTATGTGCTCATTACTTTGGTGAAATGATTTTAGGCTTTACCCTGAGACAGGCAGAAGTATGCACTTAACTCTGGTATTCAGTTCTTCCTTAACTACAAGAAGGAGAAGCTTAACTGATGTATGGGTCTTTAGTTACGTTTTGCAAGAGTTAGGCTGGGAGCAGATATAGAAATCATTGAAGGCAGCTATGCCAAAGAGAAGCTTGGTCTTGTGAATGCTGTAAAACAAAAACACAGCCTGATCTTTCTGAGCTTTTGCATTTACAAGGCCCAGAGTGCAGCTCTAGCACTATGGAAAAATTCTCATCTCCTGCACTCATAAGCTTCCCATAACAAATGTCAATTGTTCCAGGAAAAGACTGCAAGTCATGGCAAGGTTTGACATCCTTAGGAAAGGTTAATGAATTCCACAAAGGGTTTCAAACTCTATTCAATAGACAGCCAAGTGCAGACAAAGTAGTGGGGAGGGAGAAGACAAGAAAGAGGTCAGTAGGCATCTGTGTATATCTTGAGGGAGATAAGAAAGGGTTGGGGATCTCTCCCCACCCTTTCTTTCTTAAGGGAAAAGGAAAAATAAAAGAAGGAAATACTAGCTGACAGTTTCACTCCTAAATGTACTCTAATAATTGCCCAGAGGTCACAGACCGTGGTTAGGTTACTACAACCACCACATCTGTGACCATGCCCCATAAGATAAGTTGCAACACTGTAACCAAAAAACAAAGCCTCTTCTATATCCACTTAATGATTAGGGGGGAAGAAAATGAACTAGTAGGAAAAAAAGCACAAACATGTCCCCTCACCCCAACACATGCAATTACTCTAATCTGCACCATCCTCCTTCCCGTGCGTCACAAAAACACCCCCATCTGTTCATTAGCAGCCTGCTGAAAGTTGGGTGCCAAAAGAGGGAGCGCATCCCTTCTCTTCCAGGGGGGTCGTAAGCAACCCCCAAAGCCCCCATTACTGTGCATAAGAGAAGGTTCCTGTGCCAATACACTTATAGTTTTGTGCTGGGAGATGACAAAAGAAACTGTTTCCAAATTGAGGAAATTTGAGGGATGGAAAAAGAATAAAAAGACTTGCACAGCATTTTTTTCAGAACAGGGAAAGCGGGAAGCATTATAGAAAAGAAAGCCAAGACCACCAGTGAGGTATCAGTCCATGAAGAAGAAAAAAAAAGAAACCCCACACAGCTCTTCTAACAAATATATTTCTCTTTAGCTATTATTTATCACGATTGTCCATGCACCAGCTTGTGGCTGAACTGTGGAGACCAAGAGAGAGGGGAGTTAAGCATGCCGGTCTTGAAAGGAACCCATCAACAGTCACAGGGATGCTATCACCCCATGAAGGGGAGCGACTTCTCCAGTCCCCCTTACAAAAAAAGGAAGAGACAACACAGGTAAAAGATCAAATATATCCTTTTAATACAAATCTGTAAAAGCTAAACTCTCAATTTGAATAAGTCCTTAGGACAATTATAAAAAGAAGATTTGGTCCTTTTACAAATCTCCCCCTCGATAAATAGATTTTACAATTAAAACATACAATACAATTTTAAAATCAGAAAAAATTATATTGCACATTACACTGAAAAGTACAAAGTTATATGCATCAGCAAGTTATCCCAGAAGTGTTTTTAACTTGGCTTTAATATAAAACTTAAGAACAACAACACAGATTTTTCCATTCTAGTGCATAAAAACATATGTCCTGTGCTCTGCAATGTAAAAAGATTTTATTTCAAAAACAAACATTTCAAAGGAGGAGAAGTTTTTCAAAGATATGGTGCCTTTTACCTTTAGGTCACTATTTTAAGTCTATGGCCCAGATTTCTTACCACAGGACGTTAAATCACCTCTGCAAAGTAAACTGGAGATTTCAACCCTTTTCTAGTGTGCAGCTGGCCACACCTCATTTGGCATTGCGACTAGTGGTTTGACACACCAGGTATCAAAATATCATGGAGACATCACTTCACTGCTAGCTTAAATATATCCACCTGGTATAAGTTTGAGGCACATTGACTGGAAAGAGTAGACAACTGCCCCTGTTGCACCTTTTCCAATTCTGACAATCCATATGAACAAAAAAAAAATAAAAGGCATTCCTGAACAGCAAGTGAATTTGCAAGTGAATTTGTGAATTATCCCAATCTAAGCATATTCCTATGCATGACACCCAACCAGAACTCATGGCTGAGCCAGGTTTTTCAGAAGGCACAAACACTGCTAAGGAGTGGCAGGACATACAATGCATGTTGAAAGAGCTGAACTAGGGGTTGGGGAAATTCCACTGGTGACTTCTGTTGGCAGAACGCCTAGGGCAACCTTTACCGCTGTTAGCATCAACCAACGGCTCCCAGCACTGTTCAATCATGACTATCCAAGTGCTGTAGGTAAAAGTTACCAACTTGTAAGGAGTCTGGCTCAGGCAGCAGCATTTCAAAATGACCAAATACTTTTTGCTCTGTGCCTTCCTTGGTAGGCAGAATATATTTCTGCAATACGTTTTTTGCACCTAGATTACCATACTAAGGTCTACCAGCATCGCCAAGTAAACTAACAGTCCATACATTGTCACCTGTACTCTCTGAATACATCTTTGGTTTTTAACACCCTGAAAGTATTCCGTTATAAACACACACACAGTTAAGTCACTAGGAAATAACATTCTAGCAATAATTTTGCCAAAAAACTTGAAATATCTAGATGTTACCTGCATCCTTATCTTTGAGCATATCTAATTCTACTAGATTTGTTTTTCGACATGTACACTCAACTCTACCAAATTACTCGCTCCCCCTTGCAAGAAAAGGTCTTAGGTAAAATTGGAAGACAAGATTTGTTTGCCTGAAAATAATATATATGGGTTGGATGAACAGGAGATTCTAATTTGAGATCCCTGAGATGAATTTGCATATTAAAAACACTAGGCAATAACCTCTTACACACTATTTTTATCATGTTTTTATTAGGAAAAAAATTAATAAAAGCAACATATGGCTTATGAAGAATTGGATTTTTTTTGTAATAGGACAATATGGAATTGCAGATCAAATCTGTCCTCATTACTGAAATATCTCTTTAATTTTTGGCTCTACTTGAAGTGGAGAACAATGTTTAGGTAGCTGAACTGATTGCAACTGAAGCCTAAAATAGACTAACTGATAAGCCACTGAAAATAGTAGCCATTAATTTGTGGGGGGGGTTTCAGTCTGTGTTGAAGTGATTTTCTTCCTTCATAATAGTTGGTCCAGAATGACTGCTCTCTTCCTAAGAGTTCACAAAATAAGCTCAATATTCAGGCATGTCTGAACTGACCTTGGTGTATCTGAAGAGGCTGGCTGGGAAGGCAAGGGATGCAGCATTACAACAGGTTTCTAGCAATGACCTTTTGGACACGAGAAACTATCACATGGCATCAAACAGACTAAATATAAGTAGCCCCAGTGGGAACAATGTGGTGAGATGCTGCATAGTGCCTACAGGTGAGGAGCACTCTACTCCTGTTGATTTCAGTGGCTCTTGATTTACTGCAAACCCCCATTAACCCTCTACTGACTGCCTCTCCAGAAGGACCACTCTATCAGTCAACATGCCAACTTCAAGAAGCCAATTCCAACCCTAAAATATTATTTAGAATTAGCATAATACACTATAATCTTTCTAGTATTTAAAATCATCATTTTCATGTTTGTGACCCACAAAATCATAGCATTAGTTTCTTTAAAAAAACAAAAAAAACCCAAAAAAAAAAAAATCAATGCCACCTCCCTGTGCCTCACAAAGAAATTCAGCTTTTCTGTGAGTGAAGATGAGCTTAAGGCACTAACCCATTAATATGCTACTAGGAATGTTTTCTTACCCTGTCAGTAATTGTATGCTTTAATCAGCAACTCTCCTGAAGGGGCACTAGATGCATGACAAACAGCTGAAGAACATTTTGAACACCTGCACAGATAGGTATACAAGGTGAGCTGCTTAAGAGTGTTGCATGTGGCTTTGTGCATCTCTTCCTTCCCCCTCCCCACAAAAAAGGCACCTTATTTTTTTCAGTTACTAGTTTCTATAGCTAGTACACTTTTGTGGCTATGCAACTAGTGTTAAGAATACTGTTGTATACATCTGCCTACATGCTGGATCTCTTGACTACAGAGATATCTTATAAGACCAAGACCTGTCTTGTCTCCAAGCTGTTACTCTAAAAATATTTGTTTCAGCCAAAATCTACAAGTGTCTTCTACCTGAGCAATAATTGGCATTGTTTATTGCTAGTCAGACTAGCCCAATGATTAGACTCACTAAGACAAAATTGCACATTCCCTTTACTTTCCAAACCAAATGCCAAAACATTTTCACCTTCAGCATCAGACCCTCTCTAAAAAAACAAAAAATAGCATTTGCAATGCAGCTACAAAGAGGTAGCTAAACAGCATTTATGACATATGCCAATTGATTTTAAAAAAAAAGTTAACCAGCCTTCACTGCAAGACTAGCATTTTTGTATGGCAGTCTCATGAGAAAACCCTGTTCACCTTGTATTCAGAGTTTCCAATACTTACAACATTTCACTCTAAGGACTGTAACTCGTATTAGTACAAGATCTCCCTCCAAGTTCACGGTTACATCCTTCAGAAACATGATGGCTACAGATAAGCAATTCACTGTATGCAAGGATTCACTGTAGATGTGTGTGTGTGTGTGTGTGCGTGTGCGTGTGCGTGTGCGTGTGCGTGTGTAGCTGGAGAGAATTGTCTACACCACAAACTCTACTTCCGTCCTAGGACAAAGCACTGCTGGGGAGAACAGCTCAAATCAAGCCCACCATTTGATCTATTTGTCTCATGTAGATGCTCTTCAGTGGCAGCAAGTATCTCCTCTCATCAGGGACTCTATTACACTGGGAGCAAAAAGATAAAAGACAATTACTGGCAATGAAGGAATTTCAGTTATTCTCAATATTACAATGTGTGCACATTTGCAGAACTACTACAGGAGTGGTTCTCAACCTTTTTAGGCTCACAGCATCCCTAAGAAAAATGTCAGCTCTTAGTTTTCACTTTTTTGCCTAAAAATAATGGAGCAGTTTCCCTATTGCAAAGAACTTCAGAAAGACCGCAACTATGGATTTCTACTTGAAATCTCTGGGTTTCTTCTGTGAATTGTGCTTGCAAATCTAACAGGGCTAACATTGTGTGGCAGCCTTGAAAGGTTCTCAAGGCACCCCAGGGTACCTCGCCACCTGGCTGAGAAGCACTGGTTTACTGGGTACTAACTACAGAGCTGAGTACCACATGTGGTAGCCCAATCTGCTGTATCTGATAATTCTTTGTTCCCATCCCCCCAACCTCTGCCCCCCTTCTTAGTATTTTTTTTTTTTTAGGGCACGCCATGTGCCATTGTAAGCAAAATACTAAGGTATCCCTTCTTTAGCTCACTGGCTTTGACATGTGCTCCCTGCCACCCTCTTCCTGAAGAACCTGTTTTTTTTTCCACCTGGCCCAACTCACTGAAATACCTGGAGGTCTTTGAAAGGTGAAAGGACAAGCTGTCCGTTCATTTAATCTTGGCCTCAAACATCAAAAAAGGAAAGAGCCTGTGACAAGAGATGTATGAGCAACTGTAAGAACTAGAGGGTGCCAACTGAGCTCGTCCCTATCCCCTAGATCACACCCACCAGATAGTAAATTAACTTTTAGTCACCAGAGGAAGGAGAATTGGAGCTGATAAGACTGTACCTATGCCATCCAGACCCAAAGAAGCACTTATTCTCTTTTACGTCCCAAAACATTCAAAATTTAAAAATAATGAAGTACAAGCTTCAGGCGCATCAAACTCTCCTCCTGCCCCAGGCTGGGTCCAGGCAGTGGAGCTTCTTGCAGGCCAGATTCAATCCAGGGTATGGGGTGGCTCCCATTTCTGTCCAATGCATGTGGCAGTGACTCCAGCTCCTGCCGCATGCCCAAAGCTGGAGCTGGAGTTTCTGCTAACATATGCTTCATGCCAGGGCAGTAGCTAGCAGCTCTGGGTCTGGCACAGAGAAACTCTGGGTCCAGCATGGGAAGGGCCGAGGACCTGGGTCCACAGAAGCAGTAACGACAGAAACAGCCAAAGAGCAACCAGGGCTGAGTCGGCTTTTATTCACCCTCCTGCCACATCCACTAGGGCTCAAGGGCACGGGATGGCAGAACCCTGTTCGTGGATTGCCCAGGAGGCTGAATTCAGCCCGCTGGCATTATGTTTGACACTCCTGCTCTAGAGCCTTACTTACCAATGCCAAGTGACTTTCTATTCCCCAGGGCTGTCCTGCCTAGTTGGGCTCACCGTTTCTACCATAACACAGCCAGACACTTTATAAAAGGGCTTACATTGGAGCTGAAGTTGACTGCTTTAACTTCATTAGGTTTGAGTTTTTGTGCATTCTTTTCCTCCTCTTCTGGGAAGATATCTTGCCATACTGAGTCACGAAAACGTTTGTCCACAGACACGATATGCCCTTCAGTAGTAAACAAATATTTATTTCCAGATTTGTGCACTGGGTTCTCTTCATCAAATAACTAAGCATGAGGAAGAGAAAGAGAAAGAACGAGAACATGAAGCATGGATTCATCGGTTCATTATCGGACACTTCAAATGGATATAGAAAATCCACCACCCAACATTGTTTCTTTTAGTGGCATTAATACCTTGAAAGCACAAAGACATTAGTTTCTTAAAAGAATATAAAATAAATAATATTGCACAGTAAACACTCTTGAGCACTCCTTTTAATAAAATGCTTCCACCCTGAAATTTGAGGACAAATAGTTCATGTTATTAATTCAAAAGTTAGTGACTTGAATTATAACAACCTTCTATACCTTCCCATGCTATCACTTGCCTGCCCACATTGCCTACAAATGAAAAAGCCATTAGTGCTACATACTACTAAAAAGTAAGACTTGAGTTTTTGGGTTGTGATCTGAGAAATAAATACCTACCAGATACAAATATTTACATGTTTCACTGAGAAAGAAGCTCTCCATTCGGTCTTCTTTAGACTTCTCTACAACATGGTGTAACGTAGCATAGCCACATCTGAAAAATTAAAAAACACAAAACCAAACTGGTTTTATTGCCACTCCATTAGGTACTTGAAAATGAACAAGTTGTTCAATTTCATTCCTTCTAAATGAACAACAGGGGCTGACATTAAAAAGGGCGGGGAGGGGCATTCCTTTGTTTTAAGCCATCAAAAAGTATCTCACTAGTAATTTTTTATTTTTTTTTGGCAGATGTCACTTCTGAAGCATTGAAACCTTGAAAAAGCAGCGAGAGTGTCACCACAATATACTCAATAGATTTGGTCAGGAATTCTTTAAATAAAATTTGTATTAATTGGAAAAAGTGCCAGTTAATTAAAATAAACTTTCCATAGTGCAAAAATAGTTTCACAGCTCCCTCTCCACCATACTACAGTAAACAGCCCATGGAGTCAGCAGTCTCCGGTGGAATATGGAAGACCCAGATCCAAGGTTCTAATTTACCCAATTCAAAGTATGGAGGAACACCTGGGTCACTTGTATCCAAGGTGAACCTACTGAACTGCTGGCTATTCTGGATATTATTTCAAAAAAAACCTGTTTTTTATTCCACAGAGGAAAAACTAGTAACAAACCCCCAATATTTTTTTTATTGAACAGACTTGTTTTCTAGGCACCACTTATTGAAAAGCAAGACTCCCATCTTGACAAAAGAAGGGCCATGATCTACACTGCCACATGGGTGGTCCCGGACTGTAAAGCGTCTGAACTTGTGACTTCTTGGGCCAGCACCTCATAAATCACAGGATAACAATATCTAGTTAATGCTCTCATGCATACTGCTAATGTCCTGATCTTCTCTCTCCTGTAATTGCCAAAGCATTTTTTTTTTTTTTTTGCAAGTAACAAAGAACTATTCTGTTCAACTGATTGGCAAATTAAAAAAAATTATAATAATCATCCAGGGCCACTGTGCAACACAGAAAATACACTTCAGATAAAGTGTACCAATAAATTTGTTTTACCTAAACAGGTCTAAAGCCAGATTACTTAGTTTCAGTGCAAGTCCCGCTATAAAAAGTTACAACATTTCACTTCTAATGAAGAGCCCATATATTAAAAAAAACAAATCAGTTGCAATGTCTTGACAAGGAAGCCGAATTTGAGCTAAAGAAAGCTCTTTGAACATAGGCAACCAAACCAGTTCCCTGACTTTGCCAATAATGGTCCCAAGGGATGCATTACTGGAAAGGTGTACATGTCCTTAAAATTTAGAGAGAGAAGAGCACTTCATTTTTCCAAAGAACTGTGTAGTTCTTTCTGCCTGAGGATGCAATTTTCTGCTCAAAGACTAGTGCTTTCAGCCAGTTGGATATGGTAAATACCTTCAGAACTTCATTTTTATTAAATACGTTTTTTGCCCCCAGTGGTAGATAGTGACATTTCACAAACAATACCTAAATACATTTACAATGGTGAGAAAGCTAAAAAAACTTCGGAAACTGACTTGGCTTTTGTGTATTTCTCCAGACTCTGTAAAATATCCATTCCAACATGAAGGTAAAAAGGATTCTTGGTGGCCTAGGCAGAGAAGGAAAAATGTGTGTCATGGATTTATAACATTAAAGCTGTCATTCATTACAGTGGGAGTTTATTGGCATCAGTTTGAAGGAGTTAATGTAGCACAACCACAAGGCACAGATATTCCTTTATGCTTAAGAATAGGTGGTGCTTCTCTGACAGTCTACCTGTACTGTAATAACTTCCTTCCCAAAAGTATTTACACAAGAATTTGCCAGGTGTGGTATCAGAAGGAAAATATGTTGCGAAGGCTAGCGATAAAGCTGCCCTTCAACTTTTTTCACCTTCAAAGCAAGTAAATCATCAGGGGTTCTTTGCGACACCCAAGCACCTAAGGCTGTGTACAAAAGAAACAAGAGGCACGTATGCACTACACTTTAAACCGGGCTCAATGCTTTTGCACCACTTTAATGGTGTCAGTGTTTGCACACCTCGGCAGCGTATTGTGCATTAATTCCAGCCGCTGTAGGAAATTCGGCAGCATAATGCACCTTAAATGACTTGGGGTGCAGCAAACTAAAACTCCTCTTAGGAGTTTTATAGTTTGTTGCTGCCCCTACAGCCATGGAGCGAAGCACTGGGCTCCATGCAGCTCCACACCTCTGCAGGAAGACCTGCAGGCAGCAGCCCAGGAAAGCAGGCTCTGCCCAAGGAAAGTGGCAAGCCCAATCTTTTCCCCCCCCCACACCTTTCCCCATGGAGCCTGCCTGCCTGAGCTGCAGGGACCACCCCAGCTGGGTGCCAGTGGCCGGAAACTGTTGGGGGAGACACACGACACCTCTGCTGCTGCAGAGGGAAGCACCAGCCCCTCCTGAAGCCCAGGGATCACTCCACCTGCCAGCAGCTTGCCCTCCCCTCCCTGCCAGGGAGGCAGGTAAGTCAGTGGGCTGTGGGCATGACACAGGGGTTTAAAACACCCTTAAATTGAAGCGGTGTTTTTTTAAAACCCACCACTTCAAATTAGGGCCCCTGTTTTGTCTACACAAGTCCCAAGACCACTCGGGAAAGACTGTTCCCGACAGAGGTTGGGCAGCATGGCAGCGGCCAAATATACATTACGAAAAGCAGAAGCAGTACAGGCCAAAAAGCTTCTCCAGATTAGAGTAGCACATGTCAGGTACCTGATAAAGAAGATAAGTAGATTCCACCAGCTCTGGCCTTAGCGGATAGAAGGGGACATCCGGTGCCTGTAACTGCCAGTTGTACCTCTCTGGGAGAGCTCCATAACGCTTCCATATGGCATAATAGAAGGCATGGAGACAAATAGCATCTTCCACATCTCCTTTTAAAACCTAGAGACAGAAGCAGCTATGAACACAAATCCAATAAACCCTATACCAACAATACAATGCAGACAGCTGCTTTTGAGAGGCTTTACCTCCCATTTCCTGTAGGTGCACAAATGCTATTTGCAATATGCACCTAAACAAGGGAGATTTTTTCCAGCAAGAGCCACAATTATATGGTTAATATCTTCACACCTAAGCACTGGAACAAGAATGTTCCTAACTCAGTTCTAGAATAGCATGGTTAAAGGCATAACTGAATTCAGAATTAATTCTTGAAAATAAAAGCTGCAGCATTAACAACGCAGTCTCAAGCAGGTTTTTCCCAGCTGTTAGCCTGGTCCTCCTTGGTGCCAAAAACCATACCCAATGACTGCTAGTGGGGACCCCAAGTCTGGACTCGCTTGCAACCCAGAACCTGCACTGGAATGAACACCTCTGACACCAACCCACTGTACTGTCTAACCACAAAAGGCTGAGGATTGAGATTACCTGCAGTCCAGGAAAAAAGGCTTGCAGAGAGTCAATCCAGGTGTTCATCAGCTGACCGTTGAACATGTTTACATTAACATACAAAGGAGGGTCACCTTCACCTTCATTGCAAGCTTCTCGCCTGCATAACAATGAGAACATAGAAACATTCAACTTTTCTAAGAATATAATGCACATTAAACAGGATGCATCACAACACTAACAGAAGCACAAACAAATAATAAGTTTCAGGGTATTAGATTTTTATTGACGCCCATGTACTAATCTTCATTTTACAAAAAAAATCAGGCCCTAATTTTAATTTGCATTAATAGGAGACTCACCGGTACTTTGAGAACAGAGTCCCAGCACTATATCTATTTCTGATCTCACCCCCAAGTCTATGAACTTGGTAACCAGATACTTAGCCTAAGCAGCAAATAAATACTAGTTTAGTATTCATCTCCTTCCCCAATCAACTGATCTAGACAGGATTACTACTGGGTGCAAACTTCAAAAAGGGAGTCAGAATATGGAGGAAACAAAAGTGAAGAAAAATTTCCATGAAAGAGGACAGCTTTCCCTATTAAGTACAGCAGATACTATACATAACTTGGCATATACTACAGACACTCTTAATTTAAGGGAACAATAAGTATATGAAACTTACCCTCTTCTTAAGTGATTCTGAATGCTCCGATAAGCATCATTGAACATCTCCAAGTCTTCCTTTTCTCCAAAGAGAATGTAGGATTTCAAAAGATATTCATAGAACGAGTCTGATCCTGCTCCTAAGCCACTTTGTTTTCCAACCCAATGGCCAGTTTGAATATTCACAACATTTCCTTCATGAGTAAGGGGGGAGAGAGAGAGAGAGAGAGAGAGGAGGGGGAGAAATAAATACGGCTGAAGATATTTCCTGGAGTATATTTTAGCTGAAGTGAAAGGAAATGGATCACAAATGGAATCACTTAAGTGATCAGACCACACTCAGATTAAAAAGTAAAGCTAATTCACATGTAGTTATTCCATGCCTAAACATCAAATCCTTCTGCCTTTATTTCACAGGCCATTCTAAGCTACGGTAGAAGGACCACACATATAGAAACACCAAGTTTCATATCTAGCAGATCCATCAGGTGTGCTTCAGAACTATTATGCACAATTCTCCATTGAGTACCTGTGCCCTGGATTTCCATTAAAATAGGCTGCTTTCTCAGCATAGCCAGTGCCATTGTCCCGTGATAAGTGTATGTACACAAGGAGCGCACGATATAAAAGGTCAAACAGCGAGTGTCCCTCTTTCACGTGAAGGCAATTTTTTGCATCTGGCACTACCATTCAAGGGATTCAGAGTATGGATATATGGATAACTCATAGGTAACGGGGAAGTTCACAGCTGTTCTGGTGGTAACCGATGTGTGCCTGCTCTTCCCTCATGGTGAGTGAAAGTTAACCTAGCCCTCAGTGAAAGCATGAGGGAAGCACCACAGAGTGGCTGGAAAACAGTAAATCCCAGCTACTTTCACCACTCAGTAAGATATTTATAGGTCTATTCCCACAAACGTGACATTAAAAACAAAAGACAGCCAATACATTCTTTTCTGACCAAGGTGACCAAGACATCTGTGAAGCACTGAGTGGTACTTGACTACCTAACAGTCCAGTGTCATTGCTTCGGAGATTCCAGAGTGCTTTAACAGCTCGCCGAGCCACCCACTCGAACGTGGAATCCCCAAGCAGCCTGCTAAGCATCCCGAACTCCACCAACAAAGAGCCAGCTCCGGCAGTACAGGTCTCATTATTGCTGTCTGGAGGGACGCCGTTCTTCAGATTCACCTGTGGGAACAAAAACACGGAGTTTCAGTTGCATCCAACATTTAGAGGCATTTACACATGCTCCAGGGGTTGAGAGAGAGCACCGTTCCAACTAAAGTGCCCAGAGCATCTTGTGCATCTCGTAACTTCAAAATGGCAGGGGGGGCACTTTAATTTAAGCTTGTTCGATGAGCTTTACATAAACCACCCCCACTGCCATTGTAGGGTGCTGGTCCACATACCCGGCATTTAGTCACTAAAAATGTTCCCGGTTTAAATTTTCCGTCATAGTTTAAAACGGCTAGGTGAGTAACGTGGACGTGCTTTACAACGAAAGGGCTTATTATGACTAGTACAAAAGCGCTAGAGGGCATGTCAGAACTATTTTACCCTCCTGCCCTTTCAGTACTACTTTACTGCCAGGTGGCATTTTAGGACGAGATTTGATATTTTGGTGGTTTTATTTTCTTGGGTTGTGCCGGCTGGTTTTTGGGGGGAATTGTTGGTGGTTTTGCTTGAGACGCACGCACTTTGGCGGGGGGAGTTCAATAGGCAGTGCTGCCCACCTCATCTGCAAAGCCTCCTGCTTTTTTCTGGGCACACCCACTCCCCGCACAGCAGGGGCATGGTGTGGGTTGAGGCAAAGAAAGAAATAGCCCAGGCTCAATTACAGGAATTTTCTTATCATTTAGTCAAATTGCATGTCAATCTTTTAACTGCTGCATTTGCAGATCATCATTGCCCACAGTCATATCCTCCCAGCCTATGACAAGATCCCTTCAATACTTGGTTCTCCATCCTGTCCTCTAACCACCCCCTCCCAAGCTTGCCTCTCTTCTCTGGTACTCCTGTTCCTTCTAAGCCTACTTTTGTCCCCAGCACCATGTCCCTGTCCCCCTTCGACCACCCTGTTTGCCATTGCTCCACCTGACCATCATACTGCTGCCTCTTTCTGGAACTGAAGGGTGCTGCGGGTAAGAAGTGAGGAGCACCAGCTGGGCTGAAGGTGTAGGGGGCTGCAGGTAGGGAGTGAAGTGCACCAGCAGGGCTTGTGGGGAAGGGGACTGGAAGAGTAGGGGGCTGCAGATTAGCTAGAAATGAGAGGCACTGGCAGAGCTGTTGGGGCGGGGGGCTTCAGATTCAGAGTGAGGAACACAGGCAGGTGCCGCAGGCGCCAACCACCAGCCCCCACACTTGCTTGTGTCACAACTCCCAGGCCACTACAGGGAAAGGAGAGTCATGCACTCTTAGAGAGGCTTGTGTCTGGTGGTGCACCCAGCTCTGGGTAGTAACAGCCACGTATAACAGTGTATGGTGTGGGCTATGCTAAACTGTTTTATGTGGCTGTTGCACCCAGCCCTGGGGTGCATCTCAGCCCTCCCCATACACTTCTATGGAGCGGTTACACCCCAGAACTGGGTGCCTCCTGTAGGACTGGAGAGGACCATATACCCCTTCAAACCATTACCTTAAGATTCCTCAACAGAACCTGTAACATTAGTTGAGTGACTCTGGCTGACCCTATTTACATATGAGTGACACTGCCAACCCTATTTACATTTTCGTTGAGATCCAACAACACTTTTTAGCTTCTTTCATTTCTTGGAGTCTCAGAACGGCAGAGACTCCCTATGCCTGAAGAAGGGTGACTGCGCCCAAAAGCTTGCCAAGAACTTTTTTTCAACTACTCAGTTGGTCTAATAAAAGATATCACATCTACTCAAAGAACTTTGCCTGCCTATGTCCTTAGACTAACATGACTACAACCAAACGCCCCACGCCATGTCTCTGTGGTTTTTCTAGTTTTCTTGTCTTTCTGGAACTGGGCTGTTTTTTGGCTGGGATTACAGCTGGAAATTCTCCCTGGTCCAGCCCATATGGTCAGGGGTGTCGAAGCAAGTCCCCCAGTGTGGCATGGCATGGGGTAGACTAGCTCTGGGGTGTAATAGCCACATACAGCAGTGCATGGGAATGGTAGATACGTGCCCAGCTTTGGGGTGTAACAGCTGCATATAACAGTGTATGGCACGGGTGGGCAAAATGTGGCCCGGGGGCCAGATGTGGCCCGCCAGGCCATTCTATCCGGCCTGCGGGGCCCCTAAAAAATTTAGAAAATTCATATTTATCTGCCCTGGGCTGCTTGTCATGCAGCCCTCAATGGCTTGCCAGAACTCAGTAAGTGGCCCTCTGCCCAAAATAATTGCCCGCCCCTGGTGTATGGGGAGGGCTGAGATACACCCCAGAGAGGAGTCAAACAGCCACATATAACAGTTTAGCACAGCCCACACCATACACTGCCAGTGCCCTTCACTCCTGATCCACAGCCTCCTACCCTCCCAGGAGCAGTGTGCAGTGGGTCCCAGAGGGATCAAAGCCCCGAGCTGCAGGTGGCAGCTCAGGTTCTTTCTGACCCCACTTTGGCATGAAGCTGGGCAGCTCAGCATGCAGATGGCGCATGGAGGATCCCGGAGACACTATAGCCTGGAGTTGCAGGCAAGATGTCAGGCACTGAAAGCTCAGTGGTACAGCTTTTTCCTGCCACATGGGGAGATCTGGGTTCAATTCCCAGCCAGTGCACCAGAGGGCTGAGTTATTTGCAGAAGGGAATCCCTACTGCAGAGTGGGTTACCCTCACCTCTTTTACCCCACCCCACTGGGGTGCCTATGCCTCAAATTTTGTGGGATCTGCTCCTCATATTTTGGGAAACCCTGCTCCCCCATAAGCAGCTACCCTTGCCATAGTGTACTAACACCTGCTAAATCCCTTCCATTGGAGAGGGGGGTACCTCATCTGAGTACCACCAGGGTTACCCCTACCCTCCCAGCCCTGCTGGTCCCCCTCACTCCTGACCTGTGCCCCCAGCCATGCCAAACCGAAAAACAAAAACCGAGTCCAACAAAAATTAATTTTAAGTAGCCTGAGTCTTGAACTGCCTGACCCATAACTATTTGATCTTTGCCACAAAGTACATGCAAACACAGGAAACAATCCAAAAAAAATGGTATTTTTCATTAATCTGAACCTTGAACCGACTCACCAGTAAAACTTGCAAGATTAGCCCCTGGAGTCGTGTTGAAGTATTACAATAGAGATTCAGTGGATTTACAAGTGAACCCAAGTGCCACCTGGTGGTGCAACAGGTGCAAAGTAGGGGAAAAAACCCACATTTTGGGGTGTAAGTCAGACCCATGTTACAAATTTAAAATGATGAAAATAACCCTCATGGAAGAAATTCATTAGGTCAAACTAAAACATGCCAGAGGTGCTTTAAAGTACCACCAAAAAAAAAAATCTAAAACGATAAAATCAGCTGATAACATGGATACACAGATGCTATTTTAGCAAACTTAACGGCGATTTCTGTCACGTGGACACAGGAAAAGTGTAACGTGGAAACGAGAGGCGTCACGTGGACAAGTGTCCTTGAAGCGCAAGGACACTGATATACAAGACATGGCTGCAGCAGGCTAATTAACATGCTCCAGCAGGCTTTGATTAATCAAGTCTGCTCCACCATAGAGTAATTACATGCTCCACATGCAATTACAGTGGGTCAGAGCAGGCCCCGGTTCAAGTACAAGCACTCTAAGACTGTAACAGCAGTTACTGTTCAGTTGCATTCTTAACTGTATTATATAAATGTCAGACTTCAGATGAAGTGTGAATGAATTAGTTAGGGTGAGAAAATGGATTAACTTTCCATTATGAAGCCAGAACTAAATGCAATCACAGTTCCATGTTTGGTCTCAAAAAATAGGCCTAAAAACAAGCAGGTACTTAAACCCAAATTTTCAGAGGGGCTATGTGTACAATTCAGTTTATACAAGTGTTGGGCACCTGTGACATTCAACACGTGTATCCAGGTTTGCAAGCTTTTTCTTCTTTCCTCTGTAAGCCTCACTTTGCTCCTCGATTTCCCAACCTCCAGCTTTCACAGGGGAAGTCTTGCTGCACTATCCATGTTTAGAATCCATTACTATAGTAAAGAAAACCCTCTTATCCTCTACCCAAAGTTTAGTGGATTCTCAATTCTGTACTTTTAAAAAAAATTCTGTGTTTGTATGTACATTAGTGGCAGAAATCAAATTGAGACCTATCATAGCTGTGAAAGAGCTTGATCACTTTCATGAATTCTCTCTGCTACAAGGCTGCCATCACAACCCAATAAAAGTTCAATTTCCTCCAGACAGAAAACACATTAGTTAGGACACGCTACGAAGTAAGCCTGACCTGCTGCCCGCCACAATACATTCAGTCTGCTAAGCCAGGGGTTTTCAATCTCTTTGGATCAGTGTACCCCCAGCAGCTGGACAAAGAGCAGCATACCCTCGGCAGCCGGACACAGAGCAGAGAAGGACGGTGGGGTGGGGGCAGCACTCCGCCAGATGCAGAGTGGTGGCAACTGCCACATGCAGGCTTCCCCTGCCCCCTGCATCTGGCCAGTGCCTGCGTGGCCTGGTGAGTGGCAGCACTCTGTCGCCACCACCTGTGCATACCCGCTAGGGCCTTCCCAAGTCCTGCTGGGGGTATGCTTACCCCCCGCTGACAATCCCTGTGCTAAGCTGTCAGAAAAGTTCTACTCAGAAGCACTAAACTCCAGGCTTTCAGAAGTGTATTTACTATCTGCCAGGCCTGGATTCAAGCTCACTGGTCAGGGTGAAAGACCAGTTCACTCTCACCCCTCCTCCCCACAAGCCATACATTCAGACACACAAAGCAATAAGTCGAGTGTGTCATCATCTCATTTCCAGTCAACTTCTCAGCCAGTGTTTAGTTCTCTGTTGAGGGTTTACAATCACTCACTATTGCTCGTGTTCTGCCAAATCACCCATCCAATCTTCAGTCCGGCACAGATCTCATGTTAATGTTAGTTTCTTCCCCAGCCATTGCGATGGTAGCAGGGATGCAAGGCAACTTCTCTACTGCAGTCATCACCTGGTCTCTGACTGCTCAAAATGCAAACTTTGCAAGACTTCCTTGTGTTACTCAAACTTCAAGAAGCAAGAAATGGATAGCAAGGTGGGTCCTGTTGGTTCCACTGCTGCCCACATGATTCAGAACAACAGTAAGAAACAAACAGAATACTTGGCAGTTTTGATTTTTCTACAGCAGCAGTTCTCAACCTTTTTAGACTCAAGGCACTCCTTGGGAAAATGCCAGCTCTTAGTTTTTGCTTGTTTTTTTTACTACAGAAGAATAAGCTCACAATTCTTCTGCTGCAAAGAACTCAGCAAGAGCACAACAGGGCAGAATGTTTTTCACCCTGAGGATTCCTATTTGAAATCTCTGGTTTTATAATATGAATCATGTTTACACACCTAACACTGCTTTGGGCACTCCACATCAACCCCAAAAAAGATCAGTGCTATGTGAATTACTGTTCTACAGTATGAGAATAAATCTGATTGGAGGAAAATAGATGTCATGAGTATTTCCAACAGGCTCAAGCATTAACCGCTCAGCATTAACAGAGTCTAAAAAGGGTTCCTCCTGTTCCTCCCACTTCCAAGCAGGTGAACTAAGCAAAACTCTAAACAGTACCAAAGGCCTGGGAGCAATTCATTTGTTTAAATCAGGAAAAGCGTACTGTAGCACTGGTTTACACTGATTATGTCTGGACTTCTTCCTTGAAAATCCTACATTTGCCCAAACAAATGCAATCACTACTTCTATGCCACAGCTAAGCAGGGTTTCCTAACTCAGCTGGATAAATATATCCAGTGACATCTAAATTGCCACAGACTACCAATGTAAGAACACAGAAGACTTTAACCTATAGTCACATTTAAATTCTACTCTTTCAGGGCATTATCTTAATATTAATTGACTGACAGCACTGAAGTTACTCTCCCATCAAGGTAGTGGTTACCATTTTTCATAGTTGGTCGGGTCGGAAGGGACCTGAGCAGGCCATCAAGTCCGACCCCTGCCATGGCAGGAAAGAGTACTGGGGTCAAATGACCCCGACTAGGTGATTATCTAGCCTTGTTTTGAAGACCCCCAGGGTAGGAGCAAGCACCACTTCCCTTGGAAGTTGGTCCCAGATCCTAGCTGCCCTGACAATGAAGTAGTGCTTCCTGATATCAAAAAAAAATTTTCTTTTACTTTTCCTCCCCTACACCACAGCCCAAGCCTCGCAGATGACATCCAGATGATACAGTGCTCCCAGCCTACCACCGGACCAAGCTTAGAAGCCTGCTTGCTGTATTTTTTTTTTAAATGTCTCATTGAACATGCTACTTTAAAAAGTTAACCCACAACACTAAAAGTAATTAGAAAGCATTAGAAAAAGGAGAAGCCTGTACAGTTTGACTAACGAAGAATAAGTATTCTATGTTATCTGAACAGGAATAGGCTGGGTGTTAAATTATTTATCTTAAACTGAGCACAGAGACTGGAAGGAAGTCCTCAAAAGAATCTGCAGAGTATCAAATAGCATAAGCCACTTACTTTTGAAGTCAGATACCACAGAATCAGAAGGAGCTGTATTTCTTTATAAATACGAGAAAGCAAGTTATTCTCAGAGGTCAATATACATGATATTACACCTACCCGTGGATATGGAATTCCAGTTTTGGTGTTCTCAAAGGCAGGTAGTAATCTCACTGCCAGGTCATGAGCCATATGCAAGAGTTCATTATCATAATCCTTAATGGTCATGTCACCAAAGGGCTGCTTAGTATCTGTAATTATGATGTGGGCAGACAGCAAACTTCCCAAAATCCTAGTGAAGATAGAGAGAGAGGAATGACAAATCTCATACACCCAAGTGACTTTGCAATAGAGAATTACGTGACTGGTCCCTATATGACAATATACAGATCCTTATCAGATAGCCAAGACTTATACTTGATCTTAGCCAAAGGACCACAAAATAGTGAACAAGCCTTTTCCAAGTGTCCAGAGGTCAAGTTACATCAGAGCTAACTAGAACTCAGTGAAACTGCCCAGACTTGTTTGGAAAGCTTTTTTTTCGATAATTCATTTATATCCCTTGAGGACTACTACAATGATATAGGCAGATAAGGAAAACATTTAGGAGTCTTAACCCACAGTGGTTTCTCAAAGTAAGCTTCCAAAAGGAAGCCAACTGCCAGAGAAAGGACAAACTGTATCTAAACTGAAGGGGACAAGTGATTTAGAGAGGAAATTGATGTGTCAAGCTGAGGACAGAAGATATCTGGAAGTCGGGAAAAGGGGTAAGACCTGACCCTGCACCAATAGAAGCTTCAACCTGCAGAGGATCAAGTATTGAGTACAAAACAAAAAGGCAAAAGATGAATTCCAGTCCCAGGCTGCATGGTGCCTTTTTTGGATGACAGGCAAAAAAGACCGAGTGCTAAAGCCCCTAAACTGACCCTACAGAAATCCTCACCTAAAAGCCTGAAGGCATAGGGATCTGCTATTAGTACAAGTCACCCAGGGTGACAACCAGCATTTCCAAGCATACATGAGTTGGGGCATCTTGACTTCATTTAAGAAAAAAAATAAATAAATGTTGAAGGTCAATAAATAAATGTTGAAGGGTTGACAGTCATTTAATTTCCAAGCTACTTCAACTGAAGCTAAAATAAAAGTGAGAAACAAATATTTAGCCTTTGCTCCTATGAGCTATTGTATTTTCTCAGGGCAATTATGGTCAACAGCTTCAAGTCACTTGGGAAAATGTTATCCAACGTGTAGTCTTCAGAGACCATGTGGGGCGAGGAAAAGATGTAAAGATACTAAAAGTCCTAGTTCCATTTGATGAATGGATTTTAAGTATCACCTATACTTAAAATCCATTCAACAAAATATGTCAAGTGTATCTACAGTATACAGAGTACACATCTTTAGAAATTTGAAATGGAAATTTTTGTATAAATCACTAAAAACCTCCCCCAATAGGATCAGCTGAAGCAATTCTGGAAATGAGGGGTAACTCTTAAAACACATATTGTTAAATAAGAACATTTCAAATAATTCTCTTTGAAACTGACCTCCATAACAGCCCTGGCTTTCATTTCAACTTTATAGCTCAAACAAAAGACAAAGACCAATTCATTTGAAAGATCACGGGTGAACCTTTTAATTGCACAACGGTTAAGGAAGCCCCATTCTATTAGCACTTAAGCAGCAATATTAATTCATGTCTAGCTGTCTTTCTGAGCCAAAGCCACCTCTTGTAATGTTTCCAGATGCTCATGTAAAGCTCTTTAATTAGATGTTCATGATGACATACCTGATCGTTGCCTCAAAGACCTGGACTGTTGAATCTTTGTCAAAAGAAACCGTGTCAATCACTAACTTCACTGCTTTCTGGAACTCTGAGGAATTCCCCATTACCTTTAAGATGAAAGAAAAATACTGAAGAATATGAAGAGTTCTGGCAGATAATTATACAAAGGGAAACAAATATTAGCATCCTCTCTGGCTAGAGATTAGCTCCTTTTTTCCCTTCTATGATCACACCTGACACTTGCTGCTTTAAGACAAGGGTACTTTGCAAAAAAATTAGCTGTAGTGCTGCAAGTGAAAATAGGCATTCTTCCAGTGTTACATGCCCCGTTTCTTGTAACATTTCACCCTACCCCAGCAAAGCAAAGTCATGGGTCATTTCAAGACCAAAAAAAACAAAACACAACCCTGTAATTCATTAAGTGTGCTTTTTTTTTGTTTTTTTTTGTTTTTTTTAAGCTAGTGTTCACATGTGCCTTCGTGTTAATTGTATAGAAATCCATCTGCCTTTTCTTATAGTTTGCCTATTTGAGTAAAAACATGGTCATCCCTTGCTAAATTAATTACTCAAGTACTAGCGGAGTCTGTGAAAAAAAGTTAAAGCAAAGTTTTCTATTTGGAGGGAAATGTAAAACAGCCAGATTGTTTTTTGGTTTGTGACAGGAAGAATCAAGTACATTGAAACCTACAGAATAAAAATTCTTTCAACCACGACTACGTATGTTGAGACAAAGCATTTCACAGCCACATTCGTTCACACACACACACACACACACACACCACCCGCCCCCAGAGAACTCTACTGAATTAACTCCTGACGTACGACAATAAGGAACGGGAAAATCCAGCCCTAACACCAAGCCTTAACTCCAGCTCATATTTCTACAACTTTAGTAGACTCACCCCTAAGCCACAGTTTATTTCCTAAAAGATAATAAACAGCTTGTCTTCCAGTGGCATATATAGTGGAAATAAAGAAGTGTGACAGAATCCACTAGAAAATTATTCATTTCCCTTTCTGGGCAGCTCTTGATCAAATGAAAACGTAGAGATATAATGAGCATTATTTTATTAAGGACAAAATATCTACCTTACAAATACCTGAAGAATTAATGACACAACTTTTTTTTTCCCCCCCCAAAATACGGCTCCATTTCTGCCAAACAGTTTATGCAGTTCTACCAAAGGACTGCATTTTAATGCAGAAGCTACTCCAAAACATAAATAAAATGAGATGAGGACAGCAGCATACATCTTCCTTTCACTACCAACTGCAGTACTGTTGCAAAGGCAGTTAGACTACCTTAATGCTGTGAATACACAAATCAAACAAGATCAGTACACCTTAAAGGAAGACCTCAAGAGAAATACTTTCTACAGCACTGGCAGGTTGTGTAAATGCAGCTTCAAATATACAATTTTACCCTCTCCGGATTTTTTCCTCTGGTAATTAACAGCAACACAGGGCTGTACACCGTGTCCACATCCTATACTCTGTCATATGTCCTACCTCAGCAATTGGTCAGTAACACCTGCAGTACAGAGCCAATGTCCCAGTGTAGCCTTGAAGGGTAGTATCCTCTAGTGCTCTACATGGTTCTCTCCAAAAGTAAGGGGGAAGGCCAGGTTCAAGCTTGAGTAAGTACACACTAAAATTCTATAAGAGGGTGGTCAGCTCCTTTTCAAGCTTGTTGAACCTGGACCAGCCAGTCTGCCATGTACAGTTATCAGACCCAGCTGTGAAACTGCAGTAGTAGAGATCTGGAGGAAAGGAGTCTCCAAGACCAGTAGCTCAAGGAGGGCCGAGGGATAGCCCTCTATGAGATTTTTGTCAAAGTTTAATATTCGAGAATAAAACAGCCCCAAGACAGACTGGAGTGCAATAGGTAGTTTCCCAGGGCAGAAAAACAAGCCAGCTGTTTTACCCACAGATCTTTATCTGTTATGTCAGTTAATGTTATTCACATCCTGCTCTAAGAGCAAGAGTTCCGTAAAACACGGCTGTGTGCTGCTGGATGCCTGTGGCTTTTCACCACATGGATGTAATCCATTTCAGCAACAAGGAAACAACTTAGTTTAGAATGCAGACTTGGTTCTTTTGTATGCAATCTTTCATGAAACAAATATCCATCTGCAGCATTCACGCAGGGAAGAAAACATATGCAGGTAGCGGTGAGCACCTGGTAATTCAAGAAGCTGACTTTTTAACATAAAGAGACTACGAAACATGGAAGAATTGTAGCGCACATGCATAGTAGCAAAAAAACACCCAACCCCTTTCCACCTGCTTGATACACCCTTACATGTGGCAGAGCAGATTAACTCTATTGTTTTTAACGTCTTCCTAGCGGTAAACATAAGATTTTGGTTAGTAGAAAGCCTAACAGTAAGGCTACACTTCTGTCCAAGACAGGTAGGTAGAATGGTGAGCACTGACACTGAAATTAAGTCACTTTACTGACATGGATTGGCATTAGTTTAATTTACAAGAGGCAAACCGATACGGGTGGGATTCAGTGAGAGAAGACACTTACAAAGTATGACCCAAACTTATAGCCACAACATCCACGAGGACAGAGAAAGAATTATGCATTAAAAGAGGGTCGCATTTCACACCCCTCAAGTTTCCTTTCCAAATGACTCCTCTCTTTCAGTCAGTTCTTACCAGGCCCAGTTCAACACTGCCTTTAGGTTTTAATTACCAAAGAGACTACGCCTGGCAAGACAGTACACATGAACCAAAGTGACTAACTGAATTTGTAAAATTCAGTTTGGTCTTTCCTATTTCCTGCTATGCCTTTTTCAACTTCCCTTCAGGAGCTCTTAATTTACTCAAGGTGGAGTCAAAGAGCTGCCATTAAAAAAATTCTAGCACTTTGTCCATATAATATACATACCGCAGCTAGACAGCTTAAAGAAAGCTTTACTGGACTATTCCTACTGAAGACTGCATGCAAGCCAAAGGAAACTTGAGCACAGGACAAAAACCAGAGCAACTGCAGATGCTCCTCTTCTACGAGGAATTCAGACCTGTTAAATTAATTTAGCTTGCTGCATACCTTTACCTTGCCTTCAATCTTCCTGCCTCCAGTTCCTTTCTCCTCCCCTGCCCTCCCAAAAGCTATTCAGGTCATGATTCATTTCCCCTCAGGATCACTGTTGCTGGCAGAACCACTGCAATCTGCACATTTATCTTGTACTAAGACTTTTAAAAGTACAGTTTTTTGGCAACTCACCGCTAAGGTATCCAGTGCATCAATCAGAGTTAGTGAATAGTTTCCCAGGACATCATTGATATTCAAATTTGAACTGAAACAAAACAGTTAAAATGTTAGATCTATTTACAAATCGCCATACAAACCACAACCAACCAACCATGTATTTTTTATATATACATAATGTAACTAGGCAGCAACAACAACGTCTCAGAATAAGCTGCCAACCTGTACTATGCATCGATAGTAGTGCTTCCAAGTATTTCAAGTCATACAAAAAGCTCTTGCTATGGCTCCACTGCAAGACATGGCAGATATAGGAACCTTCATGCATGGTATGATATTCCAAGGTGTCTAGATTCCCAATTGGAAGCAGGATAGCCGCGCTGGCTTCAAACCAGGGAGCTGGGGCAATCTGTATCGTGCTGGTTCGCCTGCCTATAGCACCATGAGAACAAAACTACATCAAGTCTGGTTCAGGAGGAAGTCCAGAGTAATGAGGTACTTTGAAAGTACTGCTGCTGCCTTGGCATGGTATAAGTCCGCAGTATCAACATATCATACGTTTGGAAAGCAAGTGAACCTGCTGCTGTCAGGACAGGGCTGCTTGACCCAATCCTAGCACTGGTAGACCATCATGTTCTCTTGCATCGATTTAACACAACAGAAAAGCCTTCCTAATGCAAAATCTTTCTTAATCCTTTTGGAGTCACAGGCTAACAGATTTGATAGTGTTAGCTGACTACTCTCCCTTTTTTCTTCTCTTTATCTTCAAAGACAAGGCCCGAGACAAAGAAAAAATACAACAGAGTTCAAAACACTTCTTAAAAGTCTCAAATGTCATTTCACTCTACTCTACTGATTATAAAGTGACAGTGTAACATTTACCATGAAATGTAAATTCACTGCACAGCTTTTCCATTAGGGCTGTCGGTCGCTGATTCAATTCGGTGGATATTCAGCTCGATTTGGTGGCCGAATCTCTGAATCCAAATTGAATCGGGAGACCCTTTACCATCTCTGAATCAAATCGGCACCCTCCGAATCAATTTGGAGATATTCGGAAAGATTCAATGATTTGAACATAGACACGGCTTTAAATGTTTTTTCTACACACCTCAAGGTACGAGGTAGCTCGTGAACACTGAGATGGCGGGGCGGACGAGCATCCCACGGGAGCGCAGGGGGGTACCCAGAGCGCTCGGCAACAGACCCGGAAGTGGACAAGCAGCGCTTCGGGGTCACGTGGCATGTGCCCCCCGCCCCTCCCCAGCTCAGCAACTGGTGACTCCTGGGTTGGGGGGGGAAGACACCGGGGTTCCCCTACAACACATCACCGAGCCAGGGGGTTCCCCCTCGACACTCCTGTGGAATGCTCCATCCACCCCACCATTGCAGCGTTCACGAGCCACGCCTGGTACAAAACACAAGTCAAAAATAGCTGCATTTTTACTATATTTTTTCTTGGATATAAAGCACCACGTCTTTCCATGTGTACATTAAATCTATTAATAGATTTGATTTTTTAAATTTTCCAAAAAAAGGTTTTAGACAGAGACACTGATGTTAAGAATTGTATTTTTTATGTAGGGCAATATAAGCTTCTACCACTCAAAAAGTTAACGCTTGCCTAGAGAGCTGAAAGGGTTGTTTGGATAGACGTATACATTTGTCTCAGTTACAGATATCTCCTATTCTTAAAATACTAAAACAGGTTTCTTAAGCCTGCTGCCATTTTTAAATTAAATACAATTAAATTGTATTTATATTTTATCACAATTCTTAGGGTTCCTTAATTCTTCTACAGAGAGCGGCATCGTTGCTGGGGTTTCAAATGAGCACCGGAAACCGAGACGTTAGAGAGCAAATTGCAAAGATTTGTGGTTTCTCTCGCACCCAGGAGATGATGCAGACACAACAAAACAAACCAAGCAAACAAAAAGTCTAACCATCTACTTGAAAAGCCAGAAAAGAAACTTATTCATAGCTGGAAACCAGTATACGGGGGCTTCCTCTTATCTGGGCTATCCATCGGTAGTAGTTATGCCACTAGAACGAGCAAGAGAAATCTCATTTCTCAAGTTCTTTGATTTCTCAATTCTTTTCCCTTCCGAAGCTCCTCGCTGCGAGTTTTATGTAACTAGTACTTTGGCTACTGCTGAAATAGAGCGACTCGAGCCGGTGCCGGGATGAGAGGCACTTTCAACCATCAAACACGTACTCAAGCTGCTTCCTCTGGCTCTGCTCTCGCGTCGTGGGAGCACTTGAAGCCTACAGAAGCGCACGCAGCTTGGACGTGCGGGGCTACTACGCGCCTCCCCGCCCGGCCTTCTGCCGACACAGACCACAGCCCCCGTCTACACGAAAGATGAGGAGTTTCGAAATCCTTCCGGGTAACGCAGCTAACTCAACTCTTGCCCACTGAAACCTCTCTGAATTCAGGGGGGGGGGGATAGGATGAAGACCGAATTTACCAGTCGCGTCACGAAGGCTACGAGTTCAAAATTTGAAAAGTTATTTTTATATTCGTGCGACTGATGCAGCAACCCACGCTCCCGTTTCTAACACGGGGATTTTAGACCATGTAGCACCGCCCGGCCGGCAGAAGCAGGAAAGCAGGCAGGTGCCCGAGGAGCACCAACCATACTGCCCCACACCCCCCCCCCGCTGCAGCCCATGGGGGGGGGGGCATGGCTCTCACCCCTCTGCCCCTCCCCCACCCCTCATGCCCCCCTTCCCTCTCACAGTTGTGTCCATACCCCC